CCCCCCCCCCCCCCCCCCCCCCCACTTGGAGCCCAATTATCTTGGCTTCGATAAGAGATATCAAAAATTTGTTAATTAATAAAATATTGGTGATATCCTGATAAACATTTTGTCAGTTGACCACTTTTTTGTATCTTTCACAATATTCGAGATAATTGAGCTTGAAGTTGACGGTTCGAGTGGGTTTCTATTAGAGGAAATGCAGAACCTACAGTAATCCTAATAATTTAAAAGAAGTTCCCAACTATTACGGTTTGCAACGAAACAAGCACTGTGTACCTTTGAAAGTACCATAGACTTTAAAATTACACTTTGAGTCATAAGGAACAGGAAGTTAGAAAGTTTTGATATTTTTTCCAACGATTAGAATGTAAGGATACTGTAATGTAGTTTGATAATTGTTAAACAAAAAAAGCAACGGTTTTTCAAAAATTCCAAAAAAAGCGAAAAAGAGTCAAGTGGTTGTGTGTGGTTGGTCACAGTGTCATAGACATATACATAGATACATGTGAATGTGATCAACATGGTCAAAAGCCGCCGAATCTCCCCTCAATCTCTCCGACGGCTTCTGGCTAGCTAGCTGAAGCCGTGAAAGAGTACACAGATCAGAGAGACGCAGAAGCACAGACAGATGAAGGGGCGGAGAGAGAGAGAGAGAGAGAGAGAGAGAGAGAGAGAGAGAAGTCTTACGTTACGCGTACATTACGTATTTCTCTCTCTCTCCTGTTGTGTATTCTTCTTATTCTAATGCCAAGAAAATCGCCGCCTCGTCGCCACGCCACCGATTAGGTACGGAACGAGAATATAATGGCAAAAAAAGGGAAAATGTCTATAGAGAGAAGAAAGGGATTTCTTCATTTTTTTGGAATTGAAGGAGAAGGGCGGACACTGAGAAATTCCAGAAACTCGAAACACAAAATTTTGGAATTTCCGGAAAATTATTGAAACTTTATCCTTCGGTTCCTGTAAAAGATATCAAAAAACTGTCACAAGCAAAGATGTTTGTCTGGATATAAAAAATAGTAATATAGTTTGATATCTCAAACCGGTAACGAGATAATAAGGCCAAAGGGATGATATTTTTAAGGAGATACACAGATTTCAAAAGTGAAATATCAAGTGTTATTTGAACGTGATCAAAAACATTATTTGTGAAAAAAAACTTTTTTAAATAAAGAACCAAGAGAATTACGTGTTCTCTGACCCCTAGTTACTTCCCGGCTCCGGGCTTCCGGGATTACGGGCTTTCCGGGCTTTCCGGGCTTCCGGGCTTCCGGGCTTCCGGGCTTCCGGGCTTGCGGGCTTGCGGGCTTCCGGGCTTCCGGGCTTTTGAGGATCCGGGCTTGCGGGCTTCCGGGCTTCCGGGCTTCCGGGCTTCCGGTCTTTTGGGCTTCCGGGCTTCCGGGCTTCCGGGCTTCCGAGCTTCCGAGCTTCCGGGCTTTTGGACTTTTGGAGATCTGGGCTTCCGGGCTCCCGTGGATCCTGGGTCCTGGGTCCGTGCTTTTCTGAGGAAAATGCTCTGAAGTTCAATATAATTCTTTTGATTCCAGGAACTGAAATCAGCGGATTCACAATTCACGAGAAACAGGATCATGGTTCAGACTGAAAATAAAAAAGAACTGAAGTGATTGATGTTACCGTATCTTTTTGAAACTGTATTAAATGACAGGTGAAAAATGTGCAACGTATTTTTTGTGGTTTTACAACAACATTCAAAAAATTTCTAGCTGAAAACATATGCAGTACTGAAAATTTTGCAGGGTCTTGGAAATTTTTTTTTTTGCACAGATTTTTGGAACATTGGAATTGCCCGGGATTTCAGGTTGTTGGACCTTCAGACTCTTGGATTTTTGGAAGTTTTGTCAAATTGTACATTGACAATTTTCTAAATTTGAATTTCCGAGTTTCTCAACTTCTGAACCTTAGAATTTCTAAATCTCTGACGTTTAGAATTTATGATTGTTTTTCTGTTTTTTAAAATCCTGTATGTCCGATTTTTCATTAATTTCAGGATTTCAGAATTTCTAAATTCAAATTTTTTTTATTTCTGACATCATTCCTTCAATTCGTCATCATTTTTCCAACCAGAAAGTTAATAATGACAAAACCTGTTAATTTGCTCTCGCACAAAATGAAAAATAATCCAAAAAGTCAATATAACCTCAAAAAAAAGAACTGTACAAAATCACATTTTCAATGAAAAAAAATCTAATTTAAAGGCGCAGGGGACAATTTGGAACATTCTGAAAATGTTTGACCTACTGTATTTTCTTATATTTTCGGTTATTTTTATTCAAATCTCGTTAACCCAAAAATCAATAACGTACTCCGACCAATTAGCTCGAAATAAATTGATCTACGCTGCAATCGCTTCTTATGGTACAGTACCCGATTACTGTATGAATCTTGGATTCAACAATTCTAAGATACGCAGGCAGATTACTGTACCTTGTGATACTGTAGATCCAAATGATACTTGCTCCGGTTTTACGGCTGTTAGCGATGAGGATTCGGCGATTCTGGTGGTTTTTCGAGGGACAACTAGTGATGAGCAATTGGCAGTTGAGGGGATAGAGACAGTGAAGAATCAGGTTTGTGAAGGAATTCTGAAGTTCTGAAATTCTGAGTATATGAAAATTCGGACCATTCTGAAATTCTGAAAAATTCGGAACTTGAAAATTCGAAAAGTTTCAGAAATCCAAAAATACAGAAATTCTGAAATTCAGAAGTTCGGAAATTATGAAACTGAGGAATTCAAAATTTCAGACAATCGGAATCTCCAAAATTCATAAATTCAAAAATTCAAAAACTCTAAATTTCAGATGCCATGGATATCCGGAGGCGTGGTTTCCGAATATTTCGGTGACGCATTCTACAAAATCTGGAATTCTGGAATGAAAGATGATTTCAATTATCTGATTTCCAAACATCCCAATTATCAAGTTTGGGTATGTTTTCAAAATTTTGAAATTTAAAAAAAATCTGAAATTCTGAATATTGGAATTTCTGAGAAATTCTCATAACTCAAAAATTCAGAAAAACCGGAAAACCAGAAATTCCATTAAACTCTGATTCTGAAAAATCGTTAAAGTTCTGAAATTTCGAAATTTTAAAAAATCGCGAAATCACAAAAATGAGAAATTAGGGGAAACGAAAATTCCTGAAAAAATCGAAACCGGAAATTTCAAAAAAAAACTGAAATTTTGGAAAGTTTGAAAAATCCAAAATCTGAAATTTCGAAATTCTAAACAATCAAAAATTCATAAAATCTTGAAATCTGAAAAGATGAAAAGTCAGAAATTCAGAAATGCAGATATTTTCAAAATACGGATCAAAGATACAAAAAAAAAATCGGAAAATCTGAAATTCTGAAAATCGAAAACTCGTGAATCCGGAAATTCATAAAACTCTTAAAATCTGAAAAAACACAAATTTTAAAAATTCAAGGATTCATTGAATCCCGAAATCTGAAAAGTCGGAAATTCGGAAATTCAGAATTTCTGATTTTTGTATAATTCGGAAACACGGAAAATCATTTATTCGGAGATCCAAAAATCCGGAATTTCATAACTTCAGAATCTCATTTTTGGAAACACAGAAATTCTGAAAAATCTTAATTTCTGAAAAAACGGAAGTCTTGAAAAATCTTAAATTCCTAAAATTCTGAAATACTGAAATTCCAGGTAACCGGTCACTCCCTTGGTGGTGCTCTCGCCTCTCTCGCCTCTTCATATCTTGTCTTCAATCATTTAACACCATCTGAAAATCTTCTCCTCGTCACGTTTGGACAACCAAGAACTGGAAATGTGACCTACACTCAAAATTTTGATTTACTCATCGAGAACTCTTACCGTATCACTCATTCTCATGATCCTGTACCCCATTTACCCGGAAAAGGACATCATGGATATTGGCATCATAAATCAGAAGTTTTCTATAATGAAAAAATGACAGGTTGGGAGATTTGTGAAGAGGACGAAGGGCAAAAGTGCTCCAATGCGAATGCGGTGGATTTGGATTTTCAGGTATTTGGAGAGAATGGAGGGGACTGATATAAAAAAAAAACATTTTATCAGTTAGAATTTTTTCGTTATCTCAAACCGGAAACGAGATGATAAGGGTCAAAAGAATGATCTTTTTTAGGAGTTACAACTTGCAAAAACGAAAATTCACGTGTTTTTTAGAAATGATGAAAAAAATAATTGGTGAAAAATTTTTTAATTGTAGAGTTATCAAAACCACGTGATATGATTTAGAAGCCTCTGACCCTAGATGGCCCATTGACCTCGGGAAGAATACTATAAAAGAAGAAGGAAGTAAAGAGAAGAATCAGTTCTCACCTTCTCGGGGCTCCCGAGAGGTGACCCGAAGGAGGCTTCCGGGCTTCCGGGCTTCCGGGCTTCTGGGCTTCCGGGCTCCCGGGCTTCCGGGCTCCTGGACCTCCGGGATCCCGGGGATCCGGGCTTCCGGGCTTCCGGGCTTCCGGTCTTCCGCAATTCCCTGGATCCGGGCTTCCGGGCTTTCGGGCTTCCGGTCTTCCGGAATTCCCTGAATTTGGGCTTCCGGGCTTCCGGGCTTCTGGGCTTCCGGTCTTCCGGAATTCCCTGGATTTGGGCTTCCGGGCTTCCGGGCTTCTGGGCTTCCGGGCTTCCGGGCTCCTGGACCTCCGGAATCCCGGGGATCCGGGCTTCCGGGCTTCCGGGCTTCCGGGCTTCCGGGCTCCTGGACCTCCGGAATTCCCTGAATCCGGGCTTCCGGGGATCCGGGCTTCCGGGCTTCCGGTCTTCCGGAATTCCCTGGATCTGGGCTTCCGGGCTTCCGGGCTTCTGGGCTGCCGGGCTTCCGGGCTTCTGGACCTCCGGAATCCCGGGGATCCGGGCTTCCGGGCTTCCGGGCTTCCGGACTTCTGGACTTCCAGAATTCCGGAGATCCGGGATTTCGGGCTTCCGGAATTCCTGAGATCCGGGCTTCCGGGAATCCGGGCTTCCGGGCTTCCGGGCCTCCGGGTTTCCGGGCTCCTGGATCCGGGCTTCCGGGCTTCCGGGCTTCTGGGCTTCCGGGCTTTCGGGCTTCCGGGCTCCTGGACCTCCGGAATCCCGGGGATCCGGGCTTCCGGGCTTCTGGGCTTCCGGGCTTCCGGGCTCCTGGACCTCCGGAATTCCCTGGATCTGGGCTTCCGGGCTTCCGGGCTTCCGGGCTTCCGGACTTCTGGACTTCCAGAATTCCGGAGATCCGGGATTTCGGGCTTCCGGGCTCCTGGACCTCCGGAATCCCGGGGATCCGGGCTTCCGGGCTTCCGGGCTTCCAGTCTTCCGGAATTCCCTGGATTTGGGCTTCTGGGCTTCCGGGCTTCCGGTCTTCCGGAATTCCCTGGATCTGGGCTTCCGGGCTTCCGGGCTTCTGGGCTGCCGGGCTTCCGGGCTCCTGGACCTCCGGAATCCCGGGGATCCGGGCTTCCGGGCTTCCGGGCTTCCGGTCTTCCGGAATTCCCTGGATCCGGGCTTCCGGGATTCCGGGCTTCTGGGCTTCCGGGCTCCTGGACCTCCGAAATCCCGGGGATCCGGGCTTCCGGGCTTCCGGTCTTCCGGAATTCCCTGGATCCGGGCTTCCGGGCTTCCGGGCTTCTGGGCTTCCGGGCTTCCGGGCTTCCGGGCTCCTGGACCTCCGGAATCCCGGGGATCCGAGGATCCGGGCTTCCGGGCTTCTGGGCTTCCGGGCTTCCGGGCTCCTGGACCTCCGGAATTCCCTGAATCCGGGCTTCCGGGGATCCGGGCTTCCGGGCTTCCGGTCTTCCGGAATTCCCTGGATCTGGGCTTCCGGGCTTCTGGGCTTCCGGGCTTCCGGGCTTCCGGGCTCCTGGACCTCCGGAATCCCGGGGATCCGAGGATCCGGGCTTCCGGGCTTCTGGGCTTCCGGGCTTCCGGGCTCCTGGACCTCCGGAATTCCCTGAATCCGGGCTTCCGGGGATCCGGGCTTCCGGGCTTCCGGTCTTCCGGAATTCCCTGGATCTGGGCTTCCGGGCTTCCGGGCTTCTGGGCTTCCGGGCTTCCGGGCTTCTGGACCTCCGGAATCCCGGGGATCCGGGCTTCCGGGCTTCCGGGCTTCCGGACTTCTGGACTTCCAGAATTCCGGAGATCCGGGATTTCGGGCTTCCGGAATTCCTGAGATCCGGGCTTCCGGGAATCCGGGCTTCCGGGCTTCCGGGCTTCTGAGATTCCGGGACTCCGGGCTTCCGGGCTTCCGGTCTTCTGGGCTTCCGGGCCTCCGAGATTCCGGGCTTCCGGTCTTCCAGAATTCCGTGGATCCGGGCTTCCGGGCTTCCGGGATTCTGGAATTCCGGATATCCGAGCTTCCGGAATTCCGGAGATCCGGGACTCTGGGCTTCCGAGTTTTCGGGGATCCCGGCTTGCGGGCTTCCAGACTTCCGGTCTTCCGGACATTTTAAAAACCTAAAAATCAAAATTTCGGAAATTGGAAAATTCTGACAAAACGAAAAAAAATCGAGAATTCAGAATGTCGCAATTTTCTCAGATCGACTCTTTTGGCAAAAACAAAAAACTGCAAATCATTGAAAATTCAACTTTTTCAATGACCAAAATCTGAAATATGTGAAAAATAAAATAAAAATCCCAATTTATTCCAGGACCATCTCCACTATTTCAACTTGGACATTCTAACTCTTGGCTACTCAAACTGTCAAAACTCCACAAATTCATAATCTCATTCATTTCAATGTCTTTAAAAAACTGCACATAAAAATTGTACAAATCAAGCACCATAGGAATTTTCTGAAACACACAAAAAACCATGTAAATTAGAGGGGGAATTTTTAAAAGGCAAAAATCACAGTATCTCGAATTTGTCAAAAACATCATTAAAAGGCGCTGAAGGATCAAAAAATTTTGGAATTATAGCTCAAAAAGTGTGCACGTGGCTTGCTCGGTGTTGGCCTCCTGGACTTCCGCATCTGTGTACAAATCGTCGCCAATCGATTTGTATAGTGAGGCTGGAAAAAGAAAATAAGGAATTTTCTGAAAATTTTGAAAACCTAGGTATCTAAAGAATGCGGAAATTCTGAAAAATTGGAAAATTGAAAAATTCCAGAATATTCCAATTTTAGAAAAATCCAAAAAATAAGTCAAACCTTTGGCCTTTTTCTCCACTAAATGCTCTCGAATCGCGTATCTCGTCTGTCGAAAACAATTCTGATTGGCCGCTTCGACCACTTTCGGAATCAGTCCTTCATTCAAATTTCTGACGTCAATGAATCTGAAGGCGTCGACGATTTGTTTCTTTTCCAACATCACTTCTACTATCTCATCCGACGCCTTGTTTCGTGCCAATATGTCTACGCCGGACTGCAAAAAAAGTGTTTGAGAACCGCGACATTTTAGAATCGCGACGTTTCAGAACCGCGACTTTCTAGACAGCCTAGACTTATGACGTTACAGAACGCTAACATTATAGAACAGTGATGTTTGAGAACTGAGTCGTTTCAGAACCATGACAGCTTAGAACTATGACGTTTCGGAACTATGGAATTTTAGAGCCATGCTTTAGAAACGGGACGATCGAGAACCACGACGATTCAGAACCACGACGTTTCAGAATCATGCCATTTTAGAACCGTGACGATTCAGAACCAAGCCGTTCTAGATTTACAACTTTCCAGAACTATGTCATTTTAGAACCACAACGTTTCAGAATAACGACTTTTCAAAACCATGAAATTATAGAACCGTCACGTTTCAGAACCGCGACGATTTATAACTATGACAACTTAGAACTTTGACGTTTCAGAACTGCAAAGTTTTCGAACCGCGAAGTGCCATAACTACGTGGTTTCAGAACCACGACGGCATAGAACTGCGACGTTTTGCAACTACGACATTGTAAAACCGCGACGACTAAGAACTATGACATTCCAGAACCGCGACGTTTTAGAATTACGAAGTTTGAAAACCGCGATGTTCCAGAACATAGACTTTATCGAATTGCGACATTTCAGAACCATAACGTTAAAGAACCGAATTTCAGACTGTTTTTTTGGATGCTTTCAGATACTTTTAGATACTTCGTAGCGCTTTATTTTTAGTTGCTAAAAAATCCAAAAAATTCAAATTTCCTACCTGAAAAAGTGTGGAACATCTGGCTTCATAGGACAGTAGGAGGAAGGCGAGAGGTTTCGAATCATTAATAACTCGATAGGTGACAATTTGTTGAAGTTTCGACATTTCTCCGGCTTCTGCCAGTGTCTCAACGACCATTTCAATAAGATAGGCTTCTGGAGATAAGGAGGCGTCGAAGAGGGAACGAAGGTATTGGAGCATTATGTTGGCGACGTACGATTCGGGCAGTGAGGCGTCTTCCTGGAATTTTGATTTGGATTTTGGGATTTTCGGAATTTTTAGAGATTTTTAATTTTGAAGTGGTGGCCTAACTTTTGCAAATTTGGTTTTCTAGGCCNCCGCTTTAAGATGACNTAGNNNACACATCAGGTGCATGTAAGTACATCTTTTTGGATTTTTTAGAATTTTGGATTCTTAAAGTTAAATTCAGACCCCTCCACCTGCTCCTTACCCTTAACGGAATCAACACTGCACTCTGCATTTCCTGTTGGCTCACAATCATTGGATTCCATTTCTCACAGCTCATCACAGGCTTCACTGCCTCATTTTCAGCCGATTTCAGCTCTTTTTCACCGCCACAAATCCTCGTAAATACTTTTCGAATCTGCCTCAAGCTCAAAGCTCGAGCTCGAAGACACGAGAGCAACGTGGCGATGAATAGCTTTTTCTCGTTTTTCCGGCGAGCCAGGTACTCTAACATTGTGTGTTTTTCCGGGATTTCCAGTTGGGATTTTTCGTTTTTTAAGCGGAGAGAATACATGACTCCTCCGGCTGAATCGATGACGACGTCGGGGAGAAAGGTGAACCAGAAGTTGGTGTAGAGTGATGGAGGGGGTTGGTGCTGTGGGTGGGGTTCTGGAAAATTGGAGTTATTGGGAATTTTTAGAGACGTTTAGCCTATTTTTAACGCTAAAATGACTGAAAAATAGGCTAAAAACCGCAAAGAATGACTAAAATAGACTGAAAATAACTAAAAAAAGGATGAAATTGCCCAAAAATGGCGAAAAGGCCAATTTCGGGCAACTTGGGGGTAATCACTTTGGAGTAAGATATTAAAGCTTATTTTTCCTCAAAATCTGATTTTTCTTTAGATCTACGAAGAAGAATACGCCGACAACAGAAGAGTACGAATATGATGACGAGAATGATGACTCAGAAGGCGTGGAATATTACGAATCCAGAGAGCATAACGATGATACTTTTGGAAACGATTTGGCCCAAATAATGAAACATTAATTCCTAATGCTGAACTTTGTTCTTATGTTTCTTCTCGTTTTTAAAATTTTGTCGATTTGAATTTTCTTCTATTTTCCTTGCCATCTTCTGAGACATACTGATTCTCTATTTTGTACCCCCCGTTGAAATTGAGTTTTACACTATTTTGTTTTTTTATTCATAAAAATAAAGTCGTTACTCTACACAAAAAATGATTTCTTCAAAAAATTAGAAAAAAATTTTCTCGAGGTGAAATTTTACTTTGAAGTCCGGAAAAGTCGATTTTTCGTCGACTTTTGTCGATTTTAAGTCGACGCAAAATCGACAAAAGTTTTTTGTTTGCAGTTTTTTGCAAACACAATCAAATGCAAAAATGCAAAAAATAGGTGATTGAGTTTGCGAAAAAAATTCAAAAGTAAATTAGTTCTTTCTACAGCAGAGATGAGCGCAAGAGATTTACGAAAATTTCGGAAGCCGGTTTACTTTCAACAATGAAAAATGCTACCAAAAAGTTGTGAACAGGTCAAACATGTAGATCTCAATGAGAGTTATTTATTGGTATAAAAGTTATCTCATAATAGTGATGGGGAGTTAAGATATGGCGTTTCTTCCGTGTTCCGTCTTCCGTCTGGCACACGGAAGACGGAAGACGGAAGAAAGACTCTATTTAAATAATCCAACAAAATTTCGTAACAATTTTTATATCAATCGATAGCTCTCATTGAGATCTACATTTTGTCTGTTGACAGCTTTTTGGTAGCATTTTTCATTTCGAAGATAAACCGTCTTCCGTAAATGTCCGTAAATCTCTTCCGCACATCTCTGTTCTTCTACAGTAATCTACAGTAATCTTCTCGAAAACCGTTCCCCATCAAACTTCAGACACTGGAAAAATCGAAAAAGAATTTTTGAAAATAGCTAGAAAACCTAAAAAGGCCTAAAAAATTTGCAAAAGAATCGAAGAAAAAAAGAGAGTTTCCAGAAATGGACGAGAAGCGGTTTTTCGTTTTTTTCTTTGTTTGTATATGAATCTACATATAAAATGCCTAAAATACGTCTGGAAACGAGCCAGAAAATGTCAGAAAATAGGCAAAAAATAAGCTTAAAAGTAGACTTGAATTGCCTAAAAATTATCAAAAATTGCCTAACAATGCCCTGAAAAATAGCAATGATTGAGCCAAAATGGCTTGAAATAAAGTTTAAAATAGGCTAAAAATGACCGAATTACGGCTAGAAACTCATCAAGAAACGCCAAAAAATGACTCCAAAGTACCCTAAAAAACAGAAAAAAAAAGCTAGAAAGGACTGAAAAAAGAGGGGGAAATATCTCTAAAACGGCTTACAACGACCGATTTTTAGCTATTTTTAGCCTTTAGCTTTCAGTTTTCAGCCAATTTCTGACCCATTTTGAAGTCATTTTTGGCGTGATTTGAGCCAATTTCCAGTCATTTCAGCGTAGAAAACGGCTAAAATTAGGCTAAAAATAGTAAAAAAACAACGCAAAACTCGACTAAAACTGGAAAACCTGCTAAAAGTTGGCTCAAAAACCCTGCCCGAAATTGACTTAGAAACGGTAAAAATCATACTTGTAACGGGCCGGGCTTTTTCCCGAATTTCGGAGGCCCGGCCCGGACCGGCGGGCCTGTCATTCCACAAGTTTTGAAAATTAGAAAAAAACACATAAAGGGGGATTATGTGATCCCTTATGTGATTTTTTTCGATCAAAAATTTTTTTTCGAGTTTTAAAAATATTTTTTGATCAAACAGACAAACAATCCAAAAACACAAAAAAATAATGGAGAAAATTGTATTGAGAGCTTAAAATTTGGCTCAAAATGACAAAATTTTTGCTACCGGGCCTTCTGGGCCGGGCCCGGGCCTTGAAAATTTCCTCAGGCCCGGCCCGGGCCCGGGCTTTGGCGGGCCGGCCCAGAATTTTACAAGTATGGTAAAAATGACCAAAAATAACTTAAAAATTGGCTAGAAAAATAACAAAATGTGAGCTAAAAAGGCTTGAAAACATGCTGAAAATAAGCTAAAGATCGACTAAATAGTCTTTACGACTCCTGAAAAAATAATCAATTTTTTTCCTGATTTCTGGCCATCATTAGTTATTTTAAGCCTATTTTCAACCATTTTTTTAAAGCATGCTGACCTAATTTTTAACTAAATTTAAGTCATTTTTAGGCTATTTTTATCCTATTTTCAGTTACTTTTTAGCCTAATTTCAAATTTTTTTTGGCCTATTTTCTTCGAAATTTCGAAATTTTTCAAGAAATTCCAAAAAACGCACCAATCGTAGTGGTAACCAATGGCGAATGCGACTTGCTCGGCGAGCTGACTTTAATATCAAAAATCAGGGATTTTTGAGATGACTGATGATGAATAATCACCAAATTATCAATGACATGAATACCGCAGCCGCCGTTGAAACCCAAAATGAGCGAGTGCTTGAATTGGGGTACTGTAGTGGCGTCGAACGGTAGCTCGTACAAATCCAACATTGTCGCACTTCGATTACTGTATCGGAACACCATTACGTACACTTTGCCGTAGCTGAAAATATGGAGGGTTTGGTTTGGCGGTAATTTTGAATTTTAGGGAAAATTTTCAGCGACTTTTAGCTCGATTTTTCGGTTTTTTTCGAAAAAAAATATTTTATAAAACTTTTTCCGATTTTTAAAATTTTTTTCCGATTTTTCCGATTTTTTCAGAATTTTTTCCGGTTTTTTTTCCGATTTTTTTCTGAATTTTTTTCAGATTTTTTTTTCATAACTAATTTTAAATTTTTTCCGACTTTCTTCGGGATTTTTTTCCTATTTTTTTGGATTTTTTTTCCTATTTTTTTCATAATTTTTTCCGATTTTTTTCAGATTTTTTTCTATTTTTACCAGAATTTTTTTCAGAATTTTTTCATAATTAATTTAAAATTTTTTCCGACTGTTTTCGAGATTTTTTTTCCGATTTTTTTTTGATTTTCCGATTTTTTTTTGAATTTTTTCCGATTTTTTTCCAATTTTTTTCATAATTTTTCCCGATTTATTAGAATTTTTTGTTCAGGAAAAAATTCAAAAAATGTTTTTTTGAAAAATTTTATGATTAAAAAAATTTGAACAAAACGAATTTTTTAGAGAAGTAAAAATATAAAAATTGATAATTTTTGAAACTTCACAAAATTTTTTTTTGAAATTTTTAAATTCCCGCCTATCACATATCACTTTTTCCCATATTTCCCTCTCACATTGCCGCAATCGCCGCGTCTTTCTCCAAAAAATTCTCCTTAGAAATCGATCCACCGAAATCGACTTCGAAATTTTTCATCCGAGTGAATTGCGAGTGAGCAACGATGATTGGTTGCAGATTTGAGCAAGATTGACCATTAGCGATGAGCAATAATTGGCTGGGGGCCTCAAATTTGTAATTTTTGAAATCAAAATTTTTATTTTATTTTTTCAAAACTTTCCAAATCAAACTAACATAATAAATGGCCCATGCGGCATTCACATTTGTCGCTTTTATCAGTTTCGACGATTTCTTATCCTCATTTATGAATAAGAGCTCAGCACTGTGATTATTGACAAGAAGCAACTGAAAATTTCAAATTTCCAGAATCCCCCCAAATTTTCCAGCTCAAAACCTGATTATTAGTGACCCATTCAACTGCCAACAACGGTTCCTTAGATTTTGTGCTGACATTTAGCTCTAGACACAACGAATTTTCAGTTTTTTCTAGAAAAATTATATCGGCGGTGTTCGGGGAGCGTTGCATTGCACAGAGCCGCCCATCTGGTGAGAGCTTTACTGTAGAAGGTTCCCCACGATCTTTTGTGCGGACATTCATGATTTTATCGTTTTGAAGACTCTTTGAAGTCATCCCAAGCGCTCCGTTATTCCGCATTGTGCAAATTCGTTGGCTAGAGGTGTCGAAAAAATTGCGAGTGATGTTTCCATCGTGTGCCGAGCGATCGGGCTCGAATGGGATGAATTGGGCACCTAGTTCTAGCATTTCTGGAAATAGTTCATTGATTTTTTTTTCAAAAATTTTGGCTAAAAACAGGGCTGTCCAAAACGAAGGCCGGGCCTCGGCCGGCCTCGAAAAAGCCTCGGCCGAAGAAAAAAAGGCCTCGGCGCGCTCCATTGAGAAAAAGCCTCGCGAGGCCTCGGCCGGCCGAGGCCGGCCTCGCAAATGTGACTACGGTCAGCAAGTCGCATATTTTACGACAAGTTGCGTATTTTTTTTAATTTTTTGTTTTTTCTCGCTCTTTTTCAGCAAATCACGATTTTTCGAGAGTTTTCTCGATTTTTCCATCGATCTGTGGCGACATGAACATTTCGAACGCCAGTGATGGTCGGTTTAAGCCGATTTATTCATTTGTTATAACCGTTATTCAATTTCAGACACAATTCAGATGCCTCAATGGTTCATTGATCCCAACAAAATCGATTGTGAATTAGTGATAAAGAACAAAAAGGAAGGATTCGGCGGTTTTTATGCTAGTTGAAATTTTTTTTTGTTGAAAAAATTAGTTCTTTTTCAGAAAAAATGCACTGATAAACAGGGATACATGCGAGTGGTGTTTGTTCATCATGCGACCGGCGCAGAGAACGCCGTCAAATTTTTAAAGTGTGAATCTTGCTCGAGCATTATAGGAGATAACGGTGGCCATTTGCAGTAGGCAAAAACATTTTTTATATTAATTATGATGAAACTATAGGCGCCACCAGAAAAAACACAGTACATCTGGAAATTCTACGTCCCGTAACGTTTTGAATGCTTCAAAACTGGATGTATCGAGATTGCTGTCACGATTTTTTGCCACCACTGGAAGGCCATTGCACGAAATGGAAAATTCTTCGTTTAGAACGTTGGTCGGCGATTTATTGAATCTCGGGTATAATTATTTTTTAAAAAAGTTCTCATTGTAAATTGTATTGTTCAGCAAGCGAATGGATCCAACATCAGTACCAATGTCGCTTATTCCCAGCAGAAGTTCTACGCGACGGTATACCTTGGAAAAACTGGACAATGAAATTGCAAAGTTGCGAACTCTGGTGATAATCGACTCATGGCCATTTGTAAAAGGGAATTTTCAGGTGTTGCCTATTGCGAAATCGGGATACCTATCGTTCATGGCTGATTTTGGAAGAGTTCACGAAGATTTTTTGTGCCTGAAGGCTTCTTATTTGGAAGAAAGGATTGACGAAGATGGTAGTCTGAAATGGGTGACACTCGTCGTTCCAATCGCCTATATGTCAGTGTCCGGAGATTTGAAAGATGCGAATAATGTACGTGATGCTATCAAGTTCACTTGCCAAGACTACATTTCAGATTTTCATTATGATCAAACAAGCCGTTTTGAATTTTTTTGGCGAAGATTTGGATTTGAAGACTGCATTTTTAACAGCGGACGGAGCTCATAATATTCGTCGCTGTGCAACAGATCATTTTAACCAATGTAAGCTTCACTCAATTTGCGAGTGCCTAAATGGGTTGGTTTCCAGATGTCCGCTGCTTCGCTCATGCGACTGATATCATTGGAAAACGAACACTGCTTCCTTATAAATCAACAATAGTTTCCCCTCTTGAACGATCGATTTTGAAAAACTATTCCGATCTCCTGGAATTGTGTCGACTGTTCACAATGAGTCTCAAAAAGGACCGAGCGGTAATTTCTTCAAAGTTACACATGTTTCACTACGGAATTTTAGTTGTACAAGGAAATTGGCGTGTCTCTTTTGGATGTAGTCCCAACACGATGGTTCTCTGGATTTAAGTGTCTTGTTGCGGTTTACAAAAACATTGACAAATTAGGATCCTTTATTGCCGAGATGACCCCAACTTCTGCTTCGCACCTGGACGAACTGCTAAAAATAGAAAATAGAATCAGATACAAAGAACTATCTGATGTAATGGATCCATTACTACAATCGAATACATATTTCCAGGTTTATCAACTCAAACAGAATGCTGTTAATAATTAACATTTTAAGGAGAATTCGGACAGTTTGAAAGATGTGGCTGTGTTTGTCGTTAGCTTAATGGATGAATTTGATCGATTTTCGGTAGCTGGAGAGAAAGAGGTTCTTGTCAAATTCGCGAAACAAGCAACGAGAAAAATGTGCACAGATCTCGATACCATTCATTTTGTAGCCACCTATTTGAATCCTCCGTCTAAAGATTTACATGAGTTACAATTGAGATACGATCGGCATCAGGTACTAAAGAAAACGACGAACACTGTAACATGAACTAGTGTGTAAATTTCAGATTCCGATTGATATCGTGAACGATGCTCAGAAGCTTCTGGACGATTTGGGAAAAAGTTTTGAGGAAATGAGATATCAGGCGCCACCACAAAGCCAACCACCTGCACGTCATCTCACTTTCCTTCAACGTACTCTGGGCGGATCAAGCGCCCCAAAAAGCAGTTCGCTTCATCAAGAACAGCAGCAATACGAGAGAGACACCAGAAGTATGCCTGCATCAAAATTTTGGCCTCTGGCAAAAAGCTCCTATCCAATTTTGCACGAAATCGCCCGAAAAGTTCATGCGATTCAAGCTTCGGAAGCAGATGTAGAAAGATCTTTTTCAATCATAAAAAACTTGTACACACCAAATCGTCAGAGCCTGGACTTAAAAATGCTGGAAAAGTTGATGATTTTCAAAGAAAAAGATCGATTCGACACAGGCGAGACTTGAAGATTTTGATGCATGAACACAAGCTTTTTTTGTTAATTTTCTTGAATTTGTTGTCATTTTCTCTCCCCTGTTATCTCAGTGTTGAATAAAAGATTTCTTGACTTCCTCCTTTTTTTAAATGCTCTAAATATCGAAAAATCGAGAAAACTCTCAAAAAATGCCTGATTTGCTGAAAAAGAGCGAGAAAAAACAAAAA